TTTACTTCTTGTTCTAACAGTCAGGCATCTCTTTTACTTCACCTATTGACTTTTCTCCTTTTTATCTTTCTCCACTCATATTCTAGTTTTAAATGCAAACAGACAGCAAAGATCTCCATGTGCAAAAAAAAGGAGGGGATGTTTACACCACTGAGATTAAACAACCTGGATGTTTTGCCTCAAGAAACCCTCTGAGTGTCATTTACGTTGACATGTTGTAATTGACTATTCACACTTTGATGGGCAAAAGGATTCAGTTTAAAAATACCTTTTTGTAAACAACTGTGAGTATTTCAATATTTTATCAAAATTTTTCTTGGAAACTATATTCAAAATAATTATGCTTAGTTTGACAAGAAGAAAAATAATTTTTTTTAAAAAATAGCCCTTTAAGGTTTATCATATCCATAAGTGTTGAGCCACACACCTCAATTTTTAATTTTTTTTATTATTGAGCAAAAATTAAGTAACAAAAGTTAAAGCTTTGCAGTGCCAGTAGTAGGCTGTCTCAAAGGTGAATGTTTGGACTTACTGAGTGATCTATTTCAATGCTACAATGTCACCTTGCAATTTTTGGCCAAGCAGAGGCCATAGAAGTGAGATGACAGAGCTGGGATAAATTGGTATATTTCTTGGCAACAAAAGTTAAGGAGGAACAAGATAAATTACTGTCTTTCATTTTTGCTCAATAATGTTATAGTGTTAATGATATTACAATGTGCACTAGTGGTATAGCATACAATACTGTCATATGTTTTCCTGCGAGGAAACATTAGTTTGAGATAAATCCTTAATATCTTTTTAAATATATTCCTACCTAGTGCCTTGAATATTCAAGTATTCTCTTTTCTTGTCATTCCGTATTTCTTCTCTTTGTTGGCTTGATGAACCAAAAGGAAGGTAATGTAGGAGGAATTTCCAGGCTTCTCTTCTAACCTCAGGACTCAGTCCACCAAAAAATGCTGCCTATTATATGTAAAAATAACACAATATTTACCAATTATTCACCAAAAGAAAGTGTCAAATGGATTATTCCACAATAATAGCTGAGCCCTAGACAACTGATTCTTCTGGTAAAACCCAACAGTTGAGAAAATGACCCATATCAGAACCTTTTATTGTATTTCTGTCTGAAATGTTGTATGTACCCCATCTTTAAACACTATCAAGTAGTCTGAGCCAAATTCAGCTTTTGGTAATTCTACCTTTTAAGTTATAAATGGGCTAATGTAGTATGTCTACAATGGGGTAGCTCAAAGAGAGCAGAGAGATTCTTCTTCCTTTTCAGCACTTGGGCAAACAACCCAAAAATGGTTCTGTGATGCATACATGTGTAGCCTATGACCTGTATAGATCATTTATTGATTTGTTGTTATACTTTTAATATTAACTATTGCCGTGTTCAAATACTAAAGAATCTAATATAATTTTTTAACTAGAGCCTGAACAGCTTTTCTGGGATTATCACAAATATCTATATTTGCATCTAGAATTAATAAATTTCTTGAAGATATGTAAGGACGCTGTGGACTTACAGCAAACTCAATTGTGTTATGATTGTTGGTGTATCCATCAATAAAGATTTATCAGAAAATTTTCTCCTAACATTTCAGGGTGTCAACACAAGTGTTTTTGCATAACACAAAAATAGGCAGCCAATGGTTTCATATGTGTCACCTGTCAGTATGCATAAAGTAGCTGTTACTAGAATCAACCAGGGTTCATAAGGTATCTGGTCACTTCACCCCATGGTCATTTCAACCCCAGTCAGTTCATTCCAACCAAAAGTCAGTTCGCTCTATAATCGAAGTCACTTCACTCCATAAAAAAGTTACTTTGCTCCATGTTACAAGTCAAGTGTATATATGCATACAAGATTGCATTTGCCTAACTGATGTTATATGATCTTGATGATGTTTGTAATTGCTTGTTTCACTCACTCTAATCTCTCTCTGTCCCCCACGCCATGCCATCATTGATCAATGGTCAATTGAATTTCAAAAACTGTAACCCTGTAGAGTATGAACTGTATGTAAAAACCCTTTTTTAAACATGTGTGTAGTTCAAGGGGTAATTCATCCAAGGACTTAAAAAGCAACTGAGATCTGGGTGTAGTTAGAGAGCAATTGAGTCTAAATATCTTTTTTTGATTACGTGCGTTGTTTAGCATTCACTTGTAGCACTTACATAGCAACAAAGTCAAACAAAGTCTGTTGATTGATTGATTGATGGCCAATTGCATTTAAAAAAACTTTGTAAACCATCTACAGTTTCTACCCTATAAAGTTTCAACCACCTGTAAAACTTCTCCAGTTATATTTGATCTTGACATAGTTAAGGAGCTATTGAGTCTTAATATCTTTGTTTGATTTATTGCTTGTGCAGTTGCACAAGACTTCTGTTAATAAAGACTGTATTGTTGTCAGTTTATTGCCATGTATACCAACACGTAATGTGTGAACTTATGTTAATTCAAGGTGAGATTTTTTTTTGGCACAATGCACTGACTAAGTCTTTCAAAGACTCGTTTATTTGAAAATTCAGAATCAGACCTTAACCTCAACTATTTATGTCTCAAAAAGGTCCTTATAAGATTTTTTATCACTCTTAGATTAGTGAACTTGCAACATGATGCCTTAAACTGCTTTCAGTTTTCCAGTTCAACTTTATTAATTAAGACTGTATTGTTCTTTTCTTGTCACATCTACTTCCCTTGCACAATGACTATGTGCACTGGAGTGAAATAACTATTGTATGGAGCAAAGTGACTCCCATTATGGAGCAAACTGACTTTTGGTTGGAGCAAAGTGACTGGGGATGAAATGACTGTAATTAGTTCATAATGGGTCCTGTTGCAACGTCATTCAGTGATTTCCTAGTTTCCCACCTTTGCATAACACTAGCATATTAAAATAAGTTTCCCACCAATTACTAAAATTTTTCTAGAGAGTGTCTCTATGTCATTTCATACAAGTATCCTTACTGTCAAACATATTCCTGCTGCCCTTTCTTTGTTTGATCTTCATTTACTCTGTTTGTTATCATTGTACATGACTGTTATTTGTCATTTCTTCATGTATTTTATAAACCACTAGTTCAGTAATCAAATTATGAAAATCTGCTAATGTGTTGGCTACATCACTGCCAAGCAGATGTTACCATAAGCAGGAATAGGCAATGGGAAAATGAAATGCAAAATTGAAATCATAAAAATATTTAATTTTTTTATTTACTTTTTCTAATAAGTAACAGATATTTTTCATTGATATCCACATTCTCTTTCAAAAACGTGACAAGCAAATTCAAGGAGTAAAATAAAATGATGATAAGAAAAAGAGTGAGCTATGAGGAACAGATAATGTGCAAGGAAAAATATACAAGAATAGTTTCATGCAATTTAGAAGGTACTGTTCATTATCTTCTTTACACCAAAAACAAAATTTCAAACAGTGTTAAGATATTTTTAGCTTTTATCTTATTTCATTATTATTTCTTTTACAAAAAACTAATGGTTCTGCAGGTTCTACATGTTCTGCTGGGTACAGAGATTCCACAGTTTAGTACCACCCCACGTTTGTTATCTGAAGCTGTCACGCAACATAACCTGGACTGCAGTCTGATCAAGTGCAGGTATAATAACGAAGAGCTCTACTTGCAAGCAATAAAACAAGGAAATACCGCAGGAAAATATTTCACAATGGGCTTCATCTTTACATTATATCAGTAGAGGTGCAAACATGAGCCCCAAACATGCATTGACGCAGGGGTAAAAATTCGTCAGATTCGGTCAAGAAGAACAACGAAGTTGAAGGAAATTAGCTGTACTTTAACGAATCGAACGCTCCCAAATAATCTTTGGTAACTCCTAGTCACTAAGATGAAACTAATATTTCAGCAAAAGCAATTGTAAAACTTTGCCACAAAGTAACGAGAGGAAAACAAGGGGCCCTCGGAACGAATTCTCGACAGAAATCCGGATATCTATCGGGGCATTCCACGGCACTGCGGGGTTACACGATTCGTGTTTTAAGCCGCACAAAAATGCGTTCAAACGCATTCTAACAGAACCTACAAACGGCTGACGGAGTGTGCACTGCTGATTGTGCTCCCATATTTGCTCCCCTGTTTTCTTTCTGTGTAAATTTAAATGGTTATGGAGCTTACCTTACGAAAATTCATCACGTCTTCAATTCGACCACGATCATCAAATAATTGTTTCCATGTTAGGACGGTCATCGGGTCAAATCTTCCTTCTTCCGGATGGAAGCCTTCCATAAGACTTCTTTTCGAAACCATGGTAAAACTTTTCTTTCGAAGATCATCCTCGTCAAGAGGATTTATGTCCCTTGCACACCAATCCCAAAGCTGCAAAACCTGAGTGATGCGATCAAGTCCACCATGATGAAAGTGAAATACCTTGTAGTGGTTCTCGTAGTTCCCGATCACTAATTCACCACAGGAGTCATCTTCTTGTTTATTAAATAACCTGACACTTTTCATTTCGCTGAGATCTACACTGAACTTCTCTGTGCTTCTAGAAATATTGGAAATTTGTGGTTCCTCCGTCTCTCGAACATCCATTACCTGATGATCAGTTGTTTCCGGCTGTTCATCAAAAAAGTAAGCATTGGGTGTCCATGCAACCAACAAGCGGACAAGTCCACTTCGATGGGTGATGGATTTCAAAGTAAAGTATCCTGGAGAATGAGATTCACTTAAAGAGGAAGAATGGACGCAAACATTGTTTTTACAGAACAAAACTTCCTCGCTTTCGCTGGGGTCATCTTCACTGTCCAAGTAAAAGGAACTGGGAATCACAGAATCGAACACCGCAGCACCCTCTACCGCAAACTTGATTAGATGACTCAGCATCTCAACTGACTACCACCAAAAACCAAAGATAACTTACTCTGCATAATCAGCTTTATGACTGGAAGCCGAAAAATACACACTGTGCTTGATATGAATGTCTAACCGTCTACACGTCTTCCACGGCCGACTACATCTTTAGAAATCGTGACGTCACTTGAAACTGCCAATACCCGAAAGGTCTGGGTAAAAGTGTGTGCAACATGGCGGACGTGGATGAAGGTTTCTTTATGGAAGGATGGAGAAGTGTTCATTCTTCAGTCACAAAAGCTGACTTTTGTCGTTTCCAAGATGCAGTGAATGTATGGATAGAAAGACCAAATGTTGTAAATCGTCGTGTGATGGGCGCACTTATTGTGAAGAAAATGTTTGTTAAACGTTTGACTGGCAGTGATCTTGGGGAATTTTTGTCTCTTTCTGATGCTGAAATCAAGTGTTTATTTCAAGATACTGATTTAGAAGGTGAAACATGGGGGTGTGAAGGGGGTGATGATAGTTTTGACCCTGACGATAACGAAGTTTCTGGTTGTCATGAAACTCAAAGTTTGTCGAAGGATTCAGCAGTGCGTCTAGACGGTGAAGAATCAGTTTCCTGCATCGTTCGCAAGTTGATACCGAGACAGGCTCATGTTGAATTAATGGGTGCCATGTTCGAGTTGGTCATTTTAGGTAGGTAAAGTAAGTGTTCATGCCAGGAAATATTGCGCTGTGTTGAGTCTTTTTACACTATATGTGATACTGATAAGCCAAGTTGGAAATAGCAGAAAATGGATCCATCAAATCAACAGTGCATGTGCATGGATAAAGGGATAATTTTCTAAAGGAACATCAATGTTTAGGGAGAGGGTACAGCTAGATAATTCGGTTTTATCAACTGAGTTGATATCGTAAATTTGCCACCATAAATAGTTTCTAAAGCTGACATTTTTAGCGTTAGCCCTTCGTTAGAGGGGTACAGTGCAATGTCTAGAACAACTATGTCGAAAAGCAGTAACCAGTCAAGTCACACAAAAGTTATCTTGCCTAAAGTCAAATTGCCTGAAACCAGAGTTATTTCAAAATCCCTAGTCATGTTGCTCAAAGAAACAATCATTTAGAAGGTTACATTTACACACTACAAATAGGCAATAAAGTTGAGAAATCTTTATAACTCAAACATCATGAAGTCTTTGAACACGCAGATGGTCAGAATTAAACTTTGTCTGAGTAAATTGGCTCTAAGAGCATTTTGGTTCATAACGAAGTGAAGTGTTCTTTGTTTGATACACAGTTGCTTTGTACCCTCGGAGGTTTCATACCCAGTCAATTTGAACCCAAACATTACTGCTCAAATTTCAACAATTCATACCCAGTTTGAGTCAGTTCATTCCCAACCTGCCAGTAGATTTGCACTCATCCAAACATTCAGTGATGGTCAAAACCCCAGTAAACAGATGTTGATCATCATGTTCAACAAGTTAATGATAAGTCTTGCAGGTAACATCCAAACAAAGTTATTTAAATTTGTGTTTAGTAGTAACCTTCCCAACAATAACAAATAAAAACTCCAGTTTTTCATAGTTTCTCATGACAAGTTCATTTAAAGTCAAGCAAGTAACATCCAAGTCCTGTTTTGTCTGTTTGTTACCTTTTTAGTAACAAATAACTTATTGCCCAGCACAAGGTTATTGTGATATTTCCAAGATAAGAGTTTATTGTTTTTACTTGTGACTTTCTAAACAATAATAGTCTGTTAGCATCATTTCCCTTTCAGTTATATAAACTTATTTTTTTCCCTCATTTAGTTTTAGCTCTGCACATGTTGCAATTTAATTTAATTAATTTTCTGTGTCAATTGGAGACTAGTTCAGGGCAGTCTGAATCAGTTGCAATCTTTTTTTCACTTCTGTTGTTTTGTATAGATTCTTTTAAATCACACAATGGAAGTTTGTTTACTCTTCATGAAGTTTAAAGTCAAGTGTTGCTGTTAATGCCTACTTTCTTCAATCTTGCTTTCTAATATCAATTTTAATCATGCAGTATTCCTAAATGGGTAAAATAGTATTTGACCAGAATCTTTTAGTATTCAATAGATCCTTATTTTCTTGATAAGTTGGAGGTATCTTGTCAAAAGCTATGGCCAGTGACTCGCTAAGGACAGTGTACCAATGTTGATTATTTAAATGACTTCCTATACTTGACTGTACACCTCTACAAGGTGTTTTCCTACCCTCAAGCCTTATTTGCAAGGAGTTATGAAAGGAAAGTGTGATGGTTGAACCAAGCCTGATGGTATTCTTTTTTATCATCACAGAAAAAAACAAAAGTCGAGTTTCCTTTTGTCCACTTTCACTGATGGCAATGGAGAGAGGTTTCAAAAGTTACCAAGACCTCTTGGAAATGTCCAAGTCATACTCATTTGTTTATCATCAGCCATCTTGCAAAGGAGAACATGCCAGGTACAATGTATATGTGTATTTGATAACACCTACATGTACACAATTAACGATAAACCTACAGGGGAAAGGTGTTTAGAAAACTATACAAGTTTGCTGCTGTGACATTGTGAAATTCCTTTTTACTTGGGCTTCCTGTGGAAAATTCCAAGTCTTAAATTATCCTGCGGTTATATTTGTCTATCTTCCTAAAAGGTACTCCTGGCTTTCTTTTCTTTCTATGCAGGCACTGATTATCAATAGTGTTCTAAACAGCCTAAAAGAGTTTATGGTTACTGGTTATGATTTTTATATGGTAAAAACCCAGATTTGAGTTGGAATGTGTTTGGAAGCTTGGAAGCTTGGAAGCTTGAAATTATTCAGCTTTAAATGTGGTTTTTGATGGAACAATTTCAGTAATTTTTATCAAAACTTGCAGCTTGCAGTCACTTTCTAATATTTGTATTGTAACATGATTATCTTTGTATTGTTACATGATTATCTTTGTTTACAGGGTTTTCCCTATTAGCCTTTTGCCTCTAAATGAATGAATTATTATTGTGACTAAAAGTTCTCTCTCTCTTTTTACTGATTAAAATTAACAATATGAGGTAATTTTTTGTGTTTGGTTACTGTTGGATCCAACCATGAATGTAAACACACAGTAAATGATTTCATAAAACATTTGAAATAAAAAAAAAAGAACTGTAAAACATGACATTTCAACCAACCTTTGGTCATTTTCAAGTGAATAGTAAGAATGTCACAATGAATATACATATATGCATGTAAAAGTTGGCTAATAGAGGACCAAGGGGGCAGCTCATTGTAACTCTGTCTGTTTGTCCATATAAATGGCTGTTAAACAAGAAAAGTTGGTCTTTTGCTGCCACTCTAACAAGATCAACAAGGATCAGCTCATTGGGGTTAAGGTGTTGTGTTTCATCAAATCAATTATCAATGAAAGCCTTATTGGTGAGTAGTTGTATGGTCTCCTCCAAGGGTACATTCATTAACAGGGAAGAAACATCATAGGAGACCAAAATATCTCCAATTGTCAATTCATGGACCTCATTCATGAACTTGGTCCTCTATTAGCCAACTTTTTTATGTGCAGCATTGAGGATACTTTGAAGCATGAAGGCAAGATTCCCTCATACTGCAAGAGATATGTGGATGACACACTAATTATCATGCCAGACACAACATCAGCAGTCAATTTCCTCGAGATTTTAAACTAGTGCTATTCCTCTATTAAGTTTACCATGGAGACAGAAAGTGGCCGCAATAGCATGCTTCTCTTTTTGGGCACCCAGCCACTCAACAAACATAAGTGTTGAAACTTAGGTGTATGTTAAACCCACAAATACTGGCCTCCTGCTGCATTACAAGAGCCATGTAGACAACTGATACAAACACGGGTTGCTATATACTATGGTTGATTGTGCAACTTGGCTTTCATTCAATCGGTGTTACTTCTCCAGGAAGAATGTGATTGACTGAAATGATTGTTTTCTCAACTAAAATAACCTGAAGAACTTGTTAACTCTACTTTTCCATGTTTTATTTTTTATTTGGTTTTTAATTAGCTTCTAATTATTTCTTCTCTTTGTATGCTCTTATTGTCTGTTTACACTGCCGAAAAATTTTACACTTCTTATATGCATAGATATATTCATCATGTCATTTCTACTATTCACTTGAATTTACCGAAGTTTGGTCGAAATGTTGTGTTTTACCATTCATTTTTATTGTCAAATACAATAAATGATTGAATCAATCAGCCAATGGACTTCAATTGTTCCCACCACTTGTGTTTCACATCAGATCATATAAAATTGAAGCAGTTTACAATTGTCCTGGGTTTGTGCCTGAACTGGACTTTTTTCTTGTTCAATGATGCTTAGTATAAACCTTAAAGGGAATTTTACATAAGATGAAAGTTTGTGTCTTAAAGTTGAAGATTGATTGAAATAACTCAAGTAAGTCTCGACATGTTTTCAGTCTCACTTTGCATGATCTCTCCAAAAACCCATGTACCCACTGACTTTCCAAAGCATAGTGTGGTTTTGGTTTTTGGCTACAAAATGAATCCTGCTAAGTGTTCACTTAAAGAGACATAAATCACTAAAAATAGACCTTTAATCATAGAAGTGGCTTTGAGCGGACTTGACAAAACCTCGGGCCATTTTGATATACATGTGTGTTGTTGGTATTTGCACTTTGAGAAACCTTACATGTACTAACTCAGTAACAGACTTAATGGGATAATAACATACATTGCAGTGCACTACTGGCATCAAGCCAGTAACCACAATGCACAAAATGATGCCATTATAGAGGGAATTCCCAGTAAAGGCCAAGCTTACCTCTTGTTAGAATAGAAAGATTGTGAATTCCAGTGCTCATGATTTAAACATTTCTTTTAAGCTTTTCTTTCAATATTTTTGGCGAGATTTCAGTGTGGAAAAGGCATGAGTTGAAGGCCCATCTTGCCAGAGCTTACCACATAGTCCGATTTCCCACTAGCACTGCAGTAGAAGTAAGTGTCCTGTCCAAGAACACAACATAAGATTTGAGTGAGACTTGAGCCTGACCCTTTGATCTAGATTCTTGCATACTTCTTACTGGGGCACTGTATCATGACTGACAGAAGAGCACGAAGAACAAATCATGCAATTTTTAAGTGCCACTGAATATTTGACAGGTCATATGGATGGATGGATGAATTGTGACACAAATCATTTTTCATAGCTTATGATATCATTGTCCATGGAGCCCTTCCTTTGAGAGTCTGTGCAGGTTATGTTTCTTAAAGTGATGATTACAAGCTGGATATTCTGACTTGGTTTCAGCTTTTTTAAGAGTACACTTCCAGAATAAGGCATGTAGACCCTTTTTGGAGTGAGAAGTATGTGAAAGAAATATGGAATGCATATGAAATTCCACTGAACTGCTGTCTGTAAATAAATATTACTGCCAAGGCTAATGCCTTTGAGTATGCTTTTCTTTAAGCTGATGGAGTGCACCTTAAAATCCAGCACATACACCTTACACTGTATTCAGGATGATTAATGTATCTTTGCATAAATGACATGACAGCTCACATTTTTCCCTCAATAATCTATAAATGATTTATTCCAAGCTATGTTGATACCATGCCCATACTGTGGGATCATTTATGAGGCATCAGAGGTATATTCGTTACAATCATCAGTATACAGCCTCAAAGATATATTAAAAATAAAGTAATTAAGATCATCAACTTTCAAATTGAGTAGCAGGGGGACATATAAGAACTCATGTGGTTAAAGGGTCCCTTTAGAGTTCTTCTGAAAATAAACATAATCAAGTTATACTCTGTCTTCTCCTAGAAGGTTAGCAGATGCAAGTTCAGAGGCATCATCTATAAAAGTATCAACTTTCAATTTAGCCAAAAAAAGTTGAAAAAAGCTGATGAAAAAAAAGGGGTTAAGTGCTCTAGCTAGCTGCTTTTAAGTACAGACACTTCTGCAACAGGCTCTCTTGTGTCAAGGCATGCTCTTCTCTCTCCTGAACTCTGTTCTGAGTAACATAACAGAAACCATTGTTAGAAAACGGGCTGTCCAGGGTACAAGGTCAGGTTAAATTCCTTCATCCACTTTTGTAAATGTTTGCTAATAAAACAGAACAAGGAAATTGTTGAGAAATGAGAAATTAAGAGCTAACTATGGTGGCAGAGTAACTGAGGGTTAGCTCAGAGCCTTAACTGAGAAAGCTCATTGAAGTCTTCCTAGAATCAATGAGGCATCCTGCACTCCTTTGATATTTCCTGCTCCCAGAATTCTATGCTTTAGCAAAGGCAGGCCCACGAGTTTAAACTGAGATACCCACTATTTGTAATCATCATTCATAACCACAGGTCATTAACTAAAATTCAATGTATTGTAATTGACATTAGAGTTTCACTACTACTGATGGACAGTGCAACATTGTCTGAAAGTGAAAGAGATGGGATATTATGTCCTACAATTCACTGGCTGAAGGATATCTTACTTCCTAAACTTTGCAAGTGGGCAGGAGAAGCTCAGGGTAGTCAAGTTAGTAGAGGATCATTAAGACTTGTCCCTTTGGATCAATACACAAAGATATATCAACGCCTAAAACAAGACTTTGGAGAAAAGTTTGTAAAGGTTAGTAATTCACTTCACCCTGGTTGTGGTAAGTTGTGTAGATGTTCATAAAAGTACATAATTAACTTAACTCTGGTTGTGATTGTGTAGACATTTCCACATCATTAGTGGAAGTCAATATGTTAAAAAAACCTTATTGATCATAGAAATGTTGTCAACAATGTTAAAAAACTAACAGTGAAACCAAACAGCTGCTCCTTATGGTTTCACCTAAGTTACAATAGCATTGAAATTTTTGCTAGGTTATGCACCAAAAGTTTTTGGAAAATCACTCTTGCATGATCAACAGTTGCCTTTTTGTTTTAGTTGTTGTTGTTGTGATAACTTGTGTTACTGAATGACTTCCACAATGAAATACCAATAAGAAGTGGATGGTTATAGACTCTGTTATCATGAATTGTTATTATCACCCACTTAGTTTTAGTGCTCTTTGCTTTGGCATGGGTAATAATTTCTTTGAGGTCATCTTTCTTCAAGCCTATGAGCCAAAAACCAGCTTTCTTTTACTCAAGACTTTTCTTCCACTTTTTCTTCCATCGTGACAAGTTTTTCTTCAAAAATTTCTTCAAGAACACTGATCCTAAAATGCAGAAATTCATCACCATCCACTTTTCAGAAAGTTGCTATCATTTGCAAGAGCAAAATTTTCTCTGACATGGAAAAGATTGCTGAGCATTTATGTTACATGTTGTGTCATTTTTATTGTTGATAATATTTGTGATGAAAGTTCTTGACCAATGAGCATGCAATAATTTCCACAAATTATTATTATAAAAAGACACTTTTAGGAAGATAACTCTGGCATGTTGTTTGAATTTAGCCAACATGCAACAGTAACACGTCATTTTTCACGAAAGACTTAGGTAAAGTAAGGCAAATATAGTAGAATCAATACTGGAATTGAAGCAATCAATGACATAACATAACATAACTGTTTAATGCAGTTAAATGCAATTTGATGGAGTTAACAATAAAGAGCATCAACATTCTCTAGTAGTTTTTTTTTTGCATATGTGCATGCATCGGATTTCGTTGTGCTTTTCAATGGGTGCCTGTGTCTCTTTCCTGTGTGGGGGCTCATGGCTGGGTTGCCAGGATTTACCAGCCATGGGAGAAGTCTCCATCTGGGAGCTGGCTACCAATAGTGGAAGCTCTTGGATGTTTCAGGCACCCAACCTCCACTTAGGGACACAGTTGTTAATTCATGATTCAAATTCAAATGAAAGGCGAAAAGGAGACAAAAGATATTATCTCTTTCAAGTTTGTCTCCTGAAATAATTGAAAATGCAAATTTACTTCTGAATAATATTCACATTAAGACAGTTCAAACATTAGTTAAATGGCATCTGAGTCTGTTCTTGAAAATATTCAGTTTCTGCATCTGCAACATTATTAGGTAAATTATTCCATTCATTGACTATATTTACAAAGAAAGAATAGTTAAAACTATTTAGCTTTGCAGGAAAAGGTCTAAGTGTATGGTAATGGTTGGCTCTTAACAGTCCAAAGTCATGTGCAAACATAAATACTCAAATGGAAGTAGCCTGTTAAGACCATTAACTGTCTTATAGCACTTGGTAGGGGAAGAAAATAATCTTCTCTGATGTAGAGTTGGCCATTTGGGGAACTTTCATTGCTCTTCATACAACATTTCTCAGCCAATGCTTCTGAAAGCATATCTAAATGTCCTACGTTGGACTTTGTCTAAAATAACAGAGTCCTTTTTGAGGTGTGGAGGCCACACTGGAGAGCAATACTTTAGTATTGGACATTCTAAACTCTTACACAATTTCGACTACAATTTAGGCTTCCTGGGGCCTACCATTCGACTCATAAATCTGAGCATGCTATTTGCCTTGTTTGCACATTTGTTGGTTGGTGGGCTCAATGATACACTGTAGATTTGATGTGATGTGAACTCCAAGATCCTTAACTTTCGAACAGCTTTCAGCTGGTTCCCTCGTAGAATGTATTCAGGCTCCATATTATCATTCTTTTTCAAAACATGCATTATCTCACATTTGTTGACAGTGCTCCAGGACTGCAATTGGGTAAGGTCCCTTTGCAGTTCTTCTATATCATCCTTAGCATCCCAAACTGCTCTGGAGTGAAGATATCATTTGTTATCCAAAACTGAACAAGGTGCTGTCTAAGTATCCTTTCACAGACTCTACACACAAACAATGTTTATGAGACAGGATGGTAATTCTTATGAATACTTTTAGCACCTTTCTTGTGTCAAGGAATGATATCGGCCAGTTTTGTGTTGGGAGATAGCATGCCTGATAGAAAGGATGTATCAAAAACATCTCATGATGATGGAGACAAAGTTCCAGCACAATTTTAGAATCATAGGATGAATACCATCCAGGCCAGGGGATTTGTGGGAGTTGAGTTGATTCAGAATCTTGTTAATTTCCCTAGGCAAGCAATGCAGAAGACTGAGATCAGTGTCTTTGATACTTTTGGTTAAATAATGGGAAATTATATGAGTACTCCTTTGTAAAAACTAATGCAAAGTATTCATCCATGGATTCAGTGATATTGCTTTCATTTGTTAAAATGTCACCATTATGAAGCTGGAGAATGATGAGATCATTTGTTCCATTATTTTTCAACCTTAAATAATTCCAGAAAAGCTTTTGTTCATTTCTGTCATTGAACAGATTGTTTGCCAATCTATTAAGGTATTCCCAGTGGACCTTGTTGCATTCTTTCTTCAAAAGGTTGCTCGTATTTTTATATAACAGCCATGTATCATCATTATTACTATTCTTGGCTTTCTTTTATAATTGTTTCTTTCTTTGTAAAAGTTTGATTATGTTTGGGGAAATCTATGTGGCTTGGCATTTTTTCTAATTTCTCTGTTTGGGTGGCAGTCATCAACTGCAATGAAAAAGAGGTCCATCCACGCACTCAAAACTTTCATTTATGTCATCAGAGAGAAATGCACGATGTCATAGTACAAACAGGGTTTGATGCTACCCTGGTTTAAAGATTTCATGAATGTAACCGAGAAGTTACAATTCTTAGACCCAACATTTCAACACCCCAGTCTAGTGCCTTCATCAGGGGTGATCTAAACACTGCAGGATTCTTAGGTTTCGATTCTCAACACCCTATTTGCCATAAAAAGTCTGTAGCCAAAACTTTACTTAGAAGGGCCGACTGTCTACCATCTTCACTCAATTCAAAGGCTAAGGAGAGGAAATATGTTTCCAATGTCCTAAAGGGGAATGGCTATACAAAAGCTTTTATCCGTAACTGCCAAAAACCATTTACAACTAGTAGCACTTCTCATAAGAGGGAACCAGGGATTGGTTTTGCTGTTATTCCTTACATTCAGGGTATTATGGAACCCATCAAGAGAATTTTGAATAGCCACAACGTTAAAGTTGCTAAAAACCCTTTTCAGACTTTGGGGTATATTTTTGCCAAACCTAAGGATCCTGTTGTGAAAGAACAAGGAATGGACGCTATTTATTCTATTCCATGCAATAACTGTCATAATGAGTATATCAGACAGACCAAACATCAGTTTGGTACACCTTTGAAAGAGCATCAAAAAGTGGCCTACGGTATTTCTTCACCTTTAAGCCAAGTGATTTTTCAGTATTTGACAAAAAAGGTTGGGAGATTTTTTCATAAGAAATGGGATTCGGCTTATAGCCGAGGGTTTGGGATTCAAAAACAGGTACAAATTTAATGTTAATGTGAAATGACCGTTAATTCTGTGACTGCAGCACTCTTTACGTGACATGCTTTAAAATTGACATGACAAGAACGTATTTCTTTCCACCAATCAGATTCTTTGCTTCCCGAGTCTGTTGAAGGTCTCTAACTTTTAGGGTCTCGGCTTATAGCCGAGGTCAGCCTATAGGTGAAGAAATACAGTACTTTTGCAAAAAAGAAAACTCAGCTTTATTGGAGCACACATGCTTAACCAAACATGCAATTGGGTGGGATAAGTCTAAAATTATCACCACTCATCAGTGTTACCACCAGCACCTTTGTTTGGAAGCCTGGCATATTAACTCTGCCCACACTCCTTTAAGTTGTGATGATGGCTGCTTACTTCCTGACGCCTATCTACACCTTGTCAGAAAAAAGGGTAGTTCATTAGTGAGCATATAAAAGGACCTCCTGTTGCAGCATTTAGATCACCCCTGATGAAGGCACTAGACAGGAGTGTTGAAATGTTGGGTCTAAGAATTGTTACTTCTCAGTTACATTCATGAAATCTTTAAACCAGAGTAGCATCAATCCATGTCTGATTGTCCACCTGGCTGCCATGTGAACTTTAATATATGCCATAAAATACATTTGAACAGCTTATTTAAGCATGACCAGTCAGCTTTGTTGAAGTCATAAAATTTTCTTTCAGATAATTTGCATTGTTACAGATGATTATTCATTTTATAAGTTACAATTTCGTGATCGGAAATTGGTTGGCCAACATCCACATTGTAAATGATACGGCTGTTGTTAGTCAACAAAAGGTTAAGGACATTGTTTCCTCTTGTTGGTTACAACACCTATCGAGTTAGGAAGTTGTTAGAAACTACGGTATGTCCCTGAACTGCTTCTAATCGTTTCATTTGATAAGAATTCATCTATTCTGCCAATCAATATCTTTAAGATTAAAGTCTTGGACTAAAGTCAATTCTGATTGAGGTGTCTGTAATTCCAAATTCTCTGCAATGCTTACAAACATTTTATGTTGCTTGACAGGGTCTGTAAAACATGCCAAAATTGAAATAATTGTTTTTGTATAGTGGATGTCGAGCATTAAGAATTCAATTTCTAATTCTTCCAATAAGTGTCATAGATTGCAAATGATCCTGCCACTCATAGCTACCAAGACTCCTTCCCCTTTGCAGTTTTTATTGCATCTGAATACTACAAAATTTGAAGAAAATAGCTCTGTGTATGTCAGTGAATTGTCCAAATTCGTCTCAGTTACTGCAATAATTGAAGTTGTACAGTTGTAAATGTTGGCTTCTAAGGATTATGATTTATTTATCAGAGATTGAGTGTTATAATAGGCCACGTTCAGCTTCAAGTTGAAGCAAGACTTAACTTCATGTCACCTCCTATAAGCAGCAAAATTATGAGGCTTGGGTGAGTGCTCCAGTAGTACTGACGCCATCTTGTGAAGCAAGTGTGAAGTTGGTGATCAGAATTTATTGAGCACCAAATGGTACTTAATGCCGGTTCCCCAAAACAGGACAAACTAGTATTTGTTTGCAACATATATATAGACTTTATGATTTCCATTCCTAGAGTCCCACTTTGGCTTGAAAGTACATGCTGAAAGTATCAAATTTGATAAAATGTGACATATGATAAAGTACAATTAATTAATGGTAAATATTTATGATTCCTCAAACAGATGTGGCCAGAAAGTACAGATCCCCAGAAATTTGTGTATGAAGATATTGCTATAGCTTCATATTTGCTGGTAAGTACTATAGTGTCTGATAAAAATGAGAATTCTTAAATATACAGTCAGTAATTTTATGGTAATTCTATATACCACTTATTCTTTAACCCCTTTCCTATAGCTGTTGTCTTGAACTCAGTTTTCTGTTAATTGCCAACCCGTTGTGTTGATTTATGATGGTGTAGCCTGTATCAGGTCAGCTCCTAAATTATGGAGATGCTAAAACTAGCCCAGTAAAATATGGCAGGAATTTAGGATGGATAAGTGCTGCTTGCTGGCTCTTCACACACACACTCACACACGCACACACACACACACATGCGCGCGCGCGCACACACACACACACACACACACACACATACACACAGAGGTGGCTTTTAATCAACAGTTGTGATAGGGAACCTAAATAATATGATGTGTATTTCCCCCCCCATCCCCCCATCCCCCAAAAAAACAAACAAACAGTCAAATAGAAAACAAACAAAACAAAACAAACAAAACACTTGTTTTCAGTGCTGGTTTTAGATGGCTACTTTTTGTCTATGCTTTTGTTTTGTTGCTGAATTTGCATCTCTCATCCCAGAAATTACTAATTCTAATGTAGATATATCCTTTGTTGTGAACAATCAGTACACACTAATCTCTCAATCTATGCATGTACCACTCTCTTTTAATTTATAGGAAGGGAGAAAAGTCCTTAAAATGTTCTGAGTGGATTGTCTTAGTTTGTGAGACTGGTGATTCATCCTCCACTTCCTTATAAGATAATACTGTTTCATCTTCACTGAATTCCCTCAGTTTTAAGAGGATGTTGATATATGCCTTGGGGCCCTTGTTATCTGTAGAGATTTAACATTTAGAGATTTATCATTTAACCTTTTATTGCAAAAGAGTGACTGGGATCTAGCTTCTTCTTACAGCATCACTGCTGAATCCAAAATTAAGGTCATTAAAATAAGGAACATGATTACAAACTGAAGAAGCTTGTAATTGCAAACAAATCCTCCTAATCACTACTATCTTGCAGGAAACATAAAGATGACAGTGTTGAGAATATGAATAACAGTATTAGGGCAAATAGGGTTTAAGAGACTGCTCCTAAACAACATATAATCCATTGTAATTAAAAAAATTCTTCATCTTCCTAAATTTCAGTTCACTTGACAAAGACTGTGATATCAGAAATTCAAATTGACGGCTTATTGAATATGGATTATGAGGAAGTGACACTTCTCATAAATTTGGACCCTATAAGTGCTGCCTTTGATAGCACTTAATATGCCATCCTTCTGTATATCATGCAGTAGGATTTTGGAGCCCTTGGTCCTGCATTAAATTGATTTGACTCATTTTTATGTGATCATTAGCAGCATATTTAGATTGGTGGTAAAACTTCCCATAACTCAACTCTTGACCACGGAGTCAGTCAGGATAGTTGTATGGTTCCAATTTTATTTACACCTTATATCTCCCACCTATTTTTTAATTACTATTTCTCATCATTTCACTTTCATTCATGGATAAACTGATGACATTCAGATCTACATTTCCTTCAGACTTTGCTCTATTCACTCAGAAAGCAACACTGTTCTGTGATCAGAAAGTGCATTTTGTTGAGAAAACTGAGTTATGGCACAGTTTGACAACTTTAGAAGATATCAATTGATTTATTTGTTGTTGGTGAGGCCATCTCTAGCCTTTAGAAAGCCTTTGAAACCTTTGGTCCTTGTTTGGTGAAGTAGGGCTTTGTGTGAACTGTACAACATCAGGCAGATCAGAAAACTCTTTTCCATACATGATTATTGTGACTCAGTTTGTGTTAGTCTGCCTTATGGATTGTTTACAGAAAGTTCAGGATTCTTGGGGTGATTTTTCAGATTGCAAAATTTGATCATGTCACTCCTGTTCTTATCAATCTACACTAGCTTATTGTGGATTTCATCCTCTAGTTTAAGTGGCACAATTTAAGTTGCTGGTGGTTTAAATTAAACATGTTACCTTCTTTTCATTTCAAAAGTCAACTGCTCTAAACTTATAAATTGTGCCTCTGTTAATGCTGCTCCTCTCATATGGAAATCCTTTTTTTTATCAATTAAAACTTAGAGCAGTCTTACAGTTCTAAAAACACAGTTTGGAACATTTATATTAAGGAGGGCTTGTAGTCTATGAGTGGTATTGAATGTGATGTGCTTTTGATTATTTCTCTTATACTAGTAAGGCTATACATATTCTTAATTTGTTAGATAGAGAATAATCTATGGACACACTTAGGTATGGAATTTTCTTTAAGAGTTCAATTTGATGCCAACAATATAATTGAGATATCAATTCAAACACAAGAGGAGAAACTCCATATCTACAAGCAACTGTGTATTATTTCATTGATGACTGTATATGACAGGAGTGGTGCAAACTGACAGTGATTTCAAGTTCACATAGAAAATTTTTACACAGGTATAGTTACAGCCTTTCTTAGGGCTAGAAATCCTTGTAAAAACACTTTTATTATCATTGAGGTATCACAGAAGGAAATTAGTGTTTTCGCTCAAACTGAGAAAGCGTGAAAGCTATGCATGTTAACCCTATAAAAGTATACATTTCCTTAAAGCTTAATGAACACTGATTTCAGACATATGATTTATTTTCATAAATTTTACCAGAGTAAAGAATGGGAGCTTATTCATTGATGCGAAGACATTTTTCAAGATAAGTTTGTTTGACGGCATATTTTAATTGACATGTTTCTTTTTTTTTGGAACATGATTCCATATGCTGCTCGTTTTAGGAAAGATTTCTTTTAGTTTTTTGCTTAGTCATTAGTACTACAGTACTAACGGTGTTCACCAGTACTTCTATTGAACACTTTACTGAAATCCATGGAAAACAAACGCACGGCTTTACACTTAGGGTCATTTAGATAACTATAGATGGTGTGCTGCATACTGAGGAGTGTGTCAATACTGCTCCCCCTGTCCTGTAGGCAAACTGAGTTGAGCTCAGATGTTGCTCAACAGTGTCCCTCACGTGAATGTTATAAACAGACTTTTAAAATGCACGTGCAATTACAGGGGTGATGTTGATTCTTCTGTAGTCTATCTTTCCCTTGGGGGTTCAAGTGAGCTCTTTTCCATGATGAGGGTCAGGTATTGAACCTCGGGGATAAGTTCCCCAGATCTTGCAAATTAAAGGTGTAAAAATTTCCGTGTGGTCTCTCCATACCCAGAATGGTATGAGGTCTGATCCAGTGGCAGTTTTCTTCAGGTGCTGCAAACAATTCCATACCTGTCTTTCTGAAATCTCAGGAACTTGAACTCCTCTCTCAAGTTGGGCAGGTGTAGGCTGTTTATACGTACTGTCTCGACAATATTCAGCAAAATAATCACTCAGCTCAGCCAAAGATTGCATGTACAATGTAACCATGGCCGAGGAACACTAGTGCTGTGACAGGCTATCCATGTGTTTCCACCACTTTCCAGCTCCTACAGGTGCTTGAAGGAGATTTCTCCTGTTCTCACTGATAACTTCACTTATTCTCCTGTTAAATTCCCGAAGCCGATCCCCCCTGTTTTGACCAATCCTGGATTTAGACCTCATCAGGGACTTGAGAGGGGGTGTTACCCACACCGGATCATGCGATGAGATGCAAACTGTTCTGAATGGCATGCACTTATCCACGTGTCTGTGAATAAGAGTTTCCAAGTTATTCACAGCCTCATCCACATCGTTTGTTCCCAAGACACTATCCCAAGTCTCTCCCACAATTTCTAAGTATAACACCTCCTTTCAGTGTTTGCAATCCCAGATGCGAATTTTTTGGCAAACAGGTGCGAGGTTTGATCCCAATGGTAAAATGACCACCATGTGATCCGTTTTTATTGATATAGAAAATGAAGCACATTTCCCAAATTAGTCCGGTCGATTTGTAAGGACATTATCCAAGTATGCAACACCCCTAGTTGGAAAGTCCTCAAGGAAGTTCCATGCTGTCAATTGACAAAGATCATTTACCTCCAGTTGGTTAGTATCGCTGCCCAAGACAATGGTCAATCCAGGGTGTTGATCTAAAGCATTGTCCACTAAATGAACAAGGTATTGTAGAAAGTCCGAAGGCCTGTATGTTGGCTGGGGGAGGTGGTACACTCCACACACTAATAGTAAGTGTCCTGAGGGTAATTTAAAAGTCAAACATAAAAGTTCATAGAGTTCTGATCTATAGCAATCAATTATGTCCAAGTTACTCCTTGCAAATATAGTGATTCCCCCTTTACATCTGCTATCCAGGCCTAACCAGTTCCTATCTTGTCTAAATATTTTGTAGCTGGGTATGTTAACAATAGTGTCCAGCATTCCTGGCTTAAGATGGGTCTCAGAAACAACACAGATATCAATGTCTTTGTTATTCAAATCTGCCTCCAGTGCCACAGCAGCTCAAACACGGTTCTTAGTCTTGGCAAGGCTGCAAATATTTGTAGATAAAAATTTAGGTACCATAAATTCTGAGCTGGATTTGTTAGTCGTAGGATCCACTTGTCTAGCAATAGGGACAAGGTTTGCTCTAGCCATGCCATCAACAGGACAGCAGTCGACACTCCAATGACTGATTTCATCCCTCCTATTAGAAATCTTGACTGGAATCCTTTGTCGACAGCCTCCTCTAGATCCTCTATATCCTAAGATGCCAAGCAACTTAAAGGATTGAAGCACTGAGGGGCTAACTGAACTTCAGTACTGGCGACAGATATTCAGCAAACAAACTCAGGAGTATGTTGTTTTACTCGTATCGCTCCCTTGCGGGTTCAGTTCATCTAGTTGATCTGTGGTCTCCCACATAATATCTCCTGGTCCAAGATTACTTTCTACATCCATATAAATCGTTCTATTTAGCAGCAGATCATGACCAGGAACAACAAATGTGGTCAAGCCATGCTTCATCCATCTTGTCAACATAACCCCAGTCTGACCGAATCCTGACCGAGACAAAATTACTTTTGCTGGAGCCAACCTGCTTGAAACCAATAAAGGTGTGGAAACTCTGTTTCCCTTTCCAAGGAGCGTCATGTACCCTATATTCAAGAAGCTAATCATAGCAGAGCATCATGCTTCATAAGATCACGCATGACCAGTTGACCTCATCACCTGAAGAAGACTACCAGTATGCAGTCAAAGCATCGCGAGTCTAAGTATGTTATGAACAAGCAGCTATACAAATCACATCTTTTCTTGTCTAGTAAAGCACTTGAAGTTGCTTTTATTACATGCATCATGTGTTAACTTTTGAAATGGCCATGTAAGTGGGTCCTTAACTAATACAAGTGACCTGATTAAGAAATGCACGGGTATGCTCAACAAAGGAAAAAATTGTCGACTACAAATGGTTACTTTTGTAAACATCAAACAAAGTGTTTGGTGTCCATAAATTTTGCTTTCATTACAAGACAAGTAAATGTCTATTCTACCCTTAAACAGCAGCAGCAGCAACAATCTTTATTTGTAGTCTTTCCTGATTAACCTACCAGTAATACATAATTATAATGAACAATAAATAATTGTAAACTCTTAAGTGATGTGGTTGCTTTGGATAGAGCACCCAACTGACTGTGATATTGATATCATATTAAATTGTGATAGGTCCTTTGGAAGAAGGAGAGATATGAGAAGAATCTTAAGCAGAAACAGA